TGTTGCTTAGATTGGTGCTAACCTTTTTCTTGCCCAAACTGAACTTTGGTTCATCAGGCATCTTGCTGTACTTCTCCATCATCTTGTTGTAGAATTCTGATGCGCTCTGAGACACGTATCCGTAATCATCCTCATCGGGTTGGCATGCACCTGCCAACGTGATGGCAGTGTTATCCGAATCTACGGCGTCCTGTATCACTGACTGGTTCGCCGATTTCGTTCTCTTTAGCATAACGTTCACCCTTCTGGTGGCCTTTTTGTCTTTGGATCTGAGCTCCAGCAGTTGATCCCTGCGTTTATTGGCATCGTTTGTCTTCTGCTTTTCCTCCTGTTCCTTCCTGGCAAGAAACTTCTGGATGTTCACAGAAAGTGTCTTCGAGCGCTGCTCCTTTTTCGGAGGTTCAAATTTGGTCGAATAATATTTAATCTAGAACAGAATGAATGCGACAATGAATATGAGTCTGGGTCGTAAATATTTGCATATATATACATACTTCTTTCTTTGAACCCTGGCCATTTTTCTGAGCCTTGCTCAGGAGCGTACCGAAATCCATGATTGTGATTAAAAATTGTGTGGTTCGACGATGAAATCTTGAAATATTATAGATTTATGTTATGAGCACGGCCACTGGGATGTGGTACACTTCACTACATTTAGATGATACTGACGAATTCAATACCACAAACAGCTGTTCTCACTGACAACTTGCTTCTGTCCTGTTCTGGTCCGAAGCAACGTATATATACCCATCTCTTTATACTCCAGATCTGGGGATTTCCGTTGCCAACCCAAAAGTTGCGAGACGTGCGCATGCGCAAGATCACGTGGAGTGTGGTAAATTGAAATTATTGCATCTGCAATAAAAGTGAAAGTACAATTTAAAAATTTTATGATCGTTCATCTTAAACCATTAGAGAATTTCTGGAAAAATTAAAATAATAATCCCCTAACTCAAGTTTGGAAATACATTTTGGTGGTACATTGAAATTATTGCATCTGCAATAAAAGTGAATGTACAATTTATAAATTTTATGATCGTTCATCTTAAACAATTACAGAATTTCTGGAAAAATTAAAATAATAATGCCCTAACACAAGTTTGGAAATACATTTTAGTTTTGCTTTCACAGGACGCACAAATTATATTTGTAAACTATAATCCGCTATAAATAAAAAAAGATGACAAAAAAGCAAAGATGGTTCAAAAAATACACAAGAATATATGTACAAAAGTCTTGTAATTGATTTGGCAGGTGAACATCCGGGACTTCTCGTCGCTACTCGCCACTTGTTATGCGAAACGTCGCTTCTTAAGCGACTCATTTTGTTTTTAAGCTTTGAATTGAAGGTAAATGAAGATTAAAGAAAAATATTTCATAAAATGTGTTATTTATTCGTTTCGTGCATGTTTGGTTCGAAGAGGTTTCTAATGTAATTAATCTTATCTTCGCCATAAACTAAATCTTTCCACTCATCAAAATGCACGTAGGCCACTTTGTATCCGAACATCTCCAAGTGTCGAACCTTCGTTTGGTACATGCCTCTCAGTTGCACATGCAGCTTTGTAAATGCCTTGGGTCTCATCAGCAGAACAGCGTATCTGGAATAAATGGAATCAATAGGCAAAGCGTTCGTCCGTGACCTGCAAGAGAATAAGGTAGTGCTCACTTGACGTCCTCCTTGGCCTGAACGACGTAATCTATGTGATAACCATACGGTGTTATGACATCGCTCAAGATATTCTTGGAGTTTTGGAAATACTTGATCAGGTAGAGTTTCACCTTGAAGGAGAAGCTGCGGTCGTAGAAGGCATTTTGTGAGACTGAAACAAGTTAAGTTAATTAGCATTTACGTAGATTTTTCATTGTATAATTTTTCATTTACTTAAAGTCGCCTTACGTTCAACCTCATCTATATACTTTTGATGAAACCAGGGCACGTTCGATTCCGGATAATCGATGCAGACAGTCCGATTAAGTAACATGAGTCTATTCCTAACTCTCTCCGAGTAAATGTCCTTTGTGAATTAAGAAAATTGTAATCGGAATAGTTGCAATTAAGTTTTTCGTACCTTCGAGTAGCAGTTGAGTAATTCTGCGTCTAATTTCTCTAGGAATTGCGGCGTGAAAATCTGCTTAATGAACGTGTCCGAAAGGTAATTAAAATAGCTTAATCCGAGGCAGCTCTGTATGTAGGAGAGACCCGGCATTCTTTCCTGGTCCCTTTAACACGTATGAAGTAAATCTGTGTTAAAATGATGTTAGAAATTTGCGTTCACATTTACCTGACGATTAAATCGGAGAAACTGTTAAAAAACTTTTCCGAATTCTTCGGAATGTATCCGCAATTGTAGCAGAGGTACATGACCTTTTCGGCGTTAACGGCCATCACGTAATTTTTGGATCGCGAGACATAATCGGCCATCGCGTCCAAAATGTTGGGCAGGAAGAAGTTGGATGAGAGAAGAGCATAGCACATATACTTGATGATCCTGGAGCACATGTCTTCGCTGTTAACTTTGGCTTGCATCAATTTCGACATCATGTGTTTAGAGCGACCAGCTCCCCGACACATCATCGTCTTGATCAGCAGTTGCAGCTTGCTCATATTGATCTCGTCCTCCTGCAGATCACGTTTGATGCACTTGTCGATGGTAGCATTGAAGATGTTCACGTACCGCGACTGCAGCAGTCGGTTCTGAGATTGATACAAACCTATCTGGAAGCTCCTGCTCAGATTATAACAGTCCACCGTGTTGATTTGCTGCCACTGGATGCTCAGTTTGTTCACCACGTGATTAAGAATGGAAACGTCGTTTCCATAAGCCAACACGAATGAAGAGAGCATCGCGAACCTCGCCGGGATATAATTGATGATGCCCTGCTCAATCTCACCTTCCAACCACTGGTTCAGCCGCTTCTCTAATTTTACGTGCCTCAGGTTCGTGCTCTGATGAAAGTTGATGTAGTTGTTGCAAACCTTAAGCAGATATGCGTTTTTGAACTCCAGATTGTGCTCCATCACCTTGAGCAGTTTCGTCCAATAGGCTTTGCACATTAGCGGATCCGAGTTCTTCATGTACAATAGCACCTTAAAAAAGTCCAGCAGGTTTTGACCCGACATGTCGTATTCCATGAACTTCTTCACAATATTAATGAATTGCGGCCGCTGTGAAGGCAACGAAAAGGACGCGATGCACGAGAGCAACTTCAAGCGCACCTCAAGAGACCCCGTCTGATCGCTGTCCAATTGATGTAAAAACTTTAACGCGCATCTTTGCGTCTCGTTCACAATCTCCGCTGGTTCATAGTTCTTCAGCAACACCTACAATCAAACCAGACATTTTACATCATCATCAACACTCGCAATCAATAAGAACCCACGTCGAAAACATTAATTAATTGATGCACATTCAGTATATTAATGTGGTTCTGCAACTGCATGATGCACTGGCTGATCAGCAATGTATTTCTGTACCTCCAATGTGGAAAATTCAAAAACATCACGACTTTCAGGATAGTCACATGTTCGTTCTTGTTGATCACCCCATTCTCAATCAGACCCCTCACTTTATTCTTATATTTCTCCAACACCTCTTCAGTGACTATCTTATTTAGATTATTTAAACAAATTGAAATGGACCTAATATCCTCAGCAGTATCACACTTATCTAAAACAAAACAGAAAAAAACCTATTATAATTTAAACAACAAAACAATGTTTCACTGCAATTAATTACCAATAAAATTATAAATATGTGGTATAAGGTTTTTGCAATAAAAGTATGAGGCTAAATTGTAATTGCTGAACACTGTTTGCGTATACCTAGAGGCTCCAACCACAGAAAAATCTTCACAAAGTTTCCCTTCCAACTCCCTAATTAATTTCTGCATAGTGTCATGTCCCACATCCACTCCAATCTTATGCAAATATAGTAGAGTAGCACTAAGTACATTTGCATCATCAAATTCATCCTCCTTTATTGATTCCAACAAACTCTTGATCTCCTCCTGATTTAGCAGCTGACAAATATAATCATTCAAGAGTGCTTTGATCTCTGGTTTTTCATTTGTTATTGTATTTATGTGACAGAACATCTTTTGCAGATCCCAGAGCACAAGCACAATCTGTGCATGATGGGTGTAATCAAGGATATTGGAAAATTTGTTGATAAAGTTCAACACATCTTGCACGCAGGAGCACTTCTTGATGTCATTTATGAGGGGATCACTGGAATTTGGATAGAGAATGTCTTTCACCAGCATCGGTTGATCTTGGTTTAAAATATTATTGAAATACTCTTCAGAATCAAAAGCTTCATCATCGTTTATATAGCAGGATTCTTCATGGTATTCATGCAGTGCAGTGTTAGTGTGAAAGTTTCTGATGAAATTCGTGCTTATACTGGGTGAAAATTTTAATTTCTTCGCCGCTAAAAATGTAGACGGTCTTAATTTGTAGCTTCTCATAAGCTGATAGGAAATCCGTCGAAGAATCAGCATTTTATGATCGCAGTATTTTGAAATTTAAATTACACTTTTTCTTAGGTTAAGTTTTTGGACTACGCTCTGACTTCAGGGATGACCACCTTCGATAATGTTTGTATTTGGCTAAACTAAATCCTCCCGTAAAATAATCACTCGAGCATTTTATTTTGAAAGAGGAATACAATTTATGAACTTTAGTCTAATAGGATTTCTGCTATTTATTATCATTTGATAATATATCAAATGTTGGACAACCCTGGAAAATAATGTATTGTATGCAATACATCTAGCTTAAATGTATATAAAATTTTAATACAAAACCGTTTGCATTAGATTTATACTCCTAAATACTAAAAAAAACAGCAAAATGAGAAATGTTGAAATTAAGGCCAAAATTAGAGACATGGTCAAGATTTTAGCTAAAGCGAAGGAGTTGAGTGGTTCAGAGGGTGTCAGCATCCCTCAGCATGATACATTTTATAAAGCCCCGCTGGGAAGATTAAAATTACGCCGATTCGAGGTTAGTTCATTATTGTTCAGTGGATTCTTATTTGATTGCTTAAAATTTTCTCGTCAATATATTTAAAATATTTTGGTAATATGCTTTGGTAGTTTACATTATAGTAAAAATAAAAAAGAGTAGGTGTGGATATAATTATATATTCATAAATATATTATATTCCTCTATTGGCTCAACTTTTTTCATGTTTTTATTCCAGAGAGTCGAACCGAAACCAAAAACCGAAATTTACCAGATTTTTTAACAGAACCGTAACTATAACCGGAACGTAAAATTGCTCAATTGAAAACCGAAACCGGTGAAGTGTCCTGGGATGGAATATCTCTGGACCTGGATATTTATTAATACAGCACATTACAAAATTTTAAAAAAAACTCAATAGAATAGTATAAATATCACAAATCAAAAAAGTCAACTGCTTCAAAGGGCTTCTGCCCGTTCAAATTTTTATTTTGCGATAAAAAAAACTTTGATGGTAGTATGCCGGTGCTAAAATGTATATCGTTATATTTGATGTTTTACTCGATTTTAACTAATTTAAATTGTTTTTTTTCGATTTTAAATTTGAATTTTAACCGGAACCGAACCGAAACTGAACCGAGATTTTTAGACAAAACGAAGTTGGAACGATAAATATTTACTTTTAACGTAACCGTAAAGAAATTAATTTCGGTTCACTCTCTGCTTTATTCTGATTGCTTAGATTAAAAAGGCGATTACAAAAATGAATGTCATTTGCAGTCTATACTCTAAAATTTTAGTAAAACTATTATAGTATGTACAATCATGCCTAGTATTTTTAATTTAGACAGGAAACGCAGAATTGATATACTATGATAGACCAGATGCGGAAGGACCGTCTCTATCTCAATTTGAGCTTCACGATGTCCAGGCACCGAATGTTAACTCCTTGAACAATGTCCTATCCAAAGCTTTGGGAACTATAGGGGACGTTAAAAAAATTCGCCAACTGTTCATAGTTGGTCAAACCAGAATTCATGTCGATAAAGTTGAAAATCTTGGAGATTTCATGGAATTAGAGGTGCAGTAAAGAATTTGCGTGATTTGCGAAACCAACCACGCATTTTTTCCACATTATTGGTTAATTAATTTTTTGTATTTACTAATATCATTTTTAGGTTGTTTTGAAGCAGGAGCAAACCCTCGAGGATGGTCAAAAGATTGCCGATGATTTAATGTCAAAATTGGAAATCGAAAAAGAGGATTTACTGTCGTGCGCTTATACAGATTTATTAAACAAATAGTATTGTAATCGCTTCTAAATAATGATCGTAAAGTATTAATAAAAATATGAATTTATAAACTTAGGAATAATAAAGGTATTATATATAAATAATAAAAGATTGGAGATAGGCAACTTACAGAACCAGTTTATAAAGTTATCTAATACAACAAAATTTCAACGTCAAAATCGTAAATAAAAACATTGTGGTTTAAAATTTTCTAGTAGTTGAGGAAAAATGAATGCGTCCCAAAGTATATTACATCAGCATTGCATAGCCAAGGCTGATCGATTGCTGAATGATGCTTCAGCTGCCCCCAATGAATCTCTTCAAGGTTTTACTCTGTTGAACCCACATTTGGCACTTCTTGATATTGGAAATACTATAATTCGAAGGGACTATGCAGAAATTGAACAGGTAAAACTGTTGTCTGGTGGTTGTAGTGGACATGAACCTTTATATTCAGGATTTGTGGGCAATGGATTTCTAACAGCTGCAGTTCATGGTAATATAAGAAATATAAAAATAATTAAACTGAAGTGGCAAATGCATTTAAGGTGAGCTGTTCAGTGCCCCATCAGCCTATCACATATACAATATAGTCAAGGAGCTAGCCTATCAACAGGATACTGGAATATTGATTATAATACAAAACAATTCTGGAGACACATTAAATTTTGGTTTGGCTGCTGAGAAAGCTTTGAATGAGGGTATCAAAGTAAAGCTTCTGATTGTGTCTGATGATTGCAGTGGCTGCGAGTTAATTTCAAACAGTAAAACAAGTGATCAGCCACAAGGACTCTCGGGTGTTATTTTGGTGCAGAAAATAGCAGCAGCAATGGCTGAAGAAAAGGAGAATAGTTATCTGGAGATATACAAGTATTGTGACGAGTTGCAAAGAGATTTGGCTACGGTTATGGTGACGATGAGAGCAAGCACCGCACCCGATGAAGACGAGTGCGTCTGCGTGAAGAATACGAAGAACTACGAGGTGGAGTTTGGAGGAGGTCTTCACGGCGAGGGCGGATTTAAAACCATGGTGATGACTACGACCAAAGCGATCGTTGCGGAAATGCTGAACGAGCTAAGGAAGAAGGTGGTTCTCGATGATGCATCAGATTATGTCCTTATGATGAACAACATGTGCGTCTCCAAATTAGAGGAGACTGTGTTTTTGGCTGAAGTGGTGAAGAGTTTTTTGAACAATAACGTGAGGATCTTGAGGATTTACAATGGATGCTTCATGAGCTCAATGAATATGAAGGCGTTGTCTTTGACGATTTTGAAGTGCGACGAGTTACGGCTCAAGTATTTGGATTATCCGACGGATGCGGCGGAATGGAGGGTCGGCAGATTTGTGGGAATGTTGGAAACTCCCATAAAACCCAGGGTGAGAGTGCTGAGGAATCCCAGATTAGTAAACAAAGGACCTAAATTGATACCAAGGGAATCCAACGTTTTGCTGCTGGTGCTGCAATTCGCGTGCGATGCTTTGATTTCGTGCGAAAGGCAACTGAACATCATCGACGGCGAATGCGGCGATGGAGATACAGGAACAAGAATTAAAGTCGTGTGCGAGGACATTCTGGACGGATTGCGCTTGAAGCAAATCGACTTGGAGAACGTTTACGTATTCTTCAAGACGTTAAGTCGTATCGCCGAGAGGATTGGCGCGAGTTTGGGTGCCATTTACGCGATACTCTTCGAGGCTGCCGCGAATACTGTTGGCGAATTGGAGACGGGATCGCCCATGGAATCGCCCATCTGGATATCGTGCCTTTCTAACGCAGTTTCCAAGTTGAAGAGGTAATACGATTTAAATGTTAATTGAATGTATAATATTTGAATTGAAGTCACACGAAAACTGTGGATGCAACGAACAATATGTTGGTACCGCTGGTTGCGTGCCTGATGACAATCGAGGAGACGTTGGAGCAGCAGGAGGAGCCTGCGAATCGGTTGCTTGAGGCATTCGGGCTGGGCGTAGCCGCAGCGGAGGAGGCGGCGCAGAGGACGCGATTGATCAATCGGAAGTTTCCGGATTCGGGGGCACATGCTGTCGGGATTTGGATGAGGGCGTGCTTCGAGGGAGTCAAACTGCGTTGCGAATACTAAAATTGTTATTTTTCTTATAAAACGAAACAAAGAAAAACTAATATAAAATTATGCATTTCGTGGATAGAGCTTAGATGTTGATCGCATCCTCCACGGTTTCCGGCAGCTGCTTGTTGAGCGTCTCTGGTAGCTTGAAGGCTAGACCTGCGGCTATCACTGCTATCGCGGAAAATAGGAGCATAGGCAGGTAAGTCACATACAAACCCTGCAAGGATTATTGTTGTTCATTGTTCAAACTATTGTGTAATTGTGGTAGTAATAACTTACGAGCAGAGGTACGAAGGGCGCTAGGAATGCACCCAACCTGGCAATGGTCGAGGCCGAGGCAATGCTCGCACCTCGGATCACCGTCGGGAATAGTTCAGACGTGTACACGTATACGATACCAAACGATGCGGTGATGCTTAGTTTACCAATTAAAAACAACGTTAAAATTAACCAAGTCAACTCTAAAAATATATACAAAAAAGGTCCAGTAATTAGAATCTACTAATTAAATAACTAACTTACCTGTAGTAACGAACACCGAGATAGCACAATTGATTGAACACGCAAAGAGGCAGATGATGATGGACTTTTTGCGTCCGATCTTCGATATGGCCAGCCAGGAGATCATGTAACCTGGTATTTCTATGAGACAGCCCAGGATGTAATTCAGATATTTCGATCCGACCATACTCGTAGAATTCAAGGATAGGCCGTAGTAAATAAAAGCATTCGCGGCCCTAAAATTCAGTGTAATTTAAATATTATGACATATAGAGGTCACAGTTACTACTTACCATAAGAAAAATACGATTATCAATCGGATGACCAGGACTCGCGTTTTCAACATCTGCTTCATCGCTGGCCACATAAGATCCACCTTTCCATTATCATCCTGAAATTTAAAAAAATATTATTAACTATCTAAACTTAATTCATTTGCATGAACTAATGATTCGCTCTTTTTGTTCAATTGGAATAAAATGTAAAAAAGTAATACTTCTCCGCGAGGCTGTTCCTTGAAACAGTCGTTCATCTCCTTGGATATGGACACTTTGTTAATTCTTGCAGCTTTTTCGATCACATCTTTGGCCTCTCGTAGCTTCTTCTGTGAGATCAGCCACCTCACGGATTCTGGAATTATACTAAATGCAAATGAATGAAGGAGAAGGCGGAACCTTCGGCTCGGTTACCACACGTAGAGGATGAATACGAAACAAGGCCCCGAGATAAACAGCTGCGTCCACATCCAGTTCTTGGTGTACCAAGCTATCACTCCGAGAAGAGCTTCTCCAATCGCGTAGAAGAAGTTTAACACCACTCCAGTCAATTCGCGCTTCTTCCTGCCCACCAATTCCACGCCTGAGTTCAAATTCAGATTACAGTTTACCGCACATCGCAAAACCATCAATTGAAATACCAATAACGAATCCCAGCGGATAAACTCCGGCCGTTCCGACGGCGTGGAAAAACGCCACGGCCATAAAACCGTAGTAACTTGTTGCCATCACATGAGATACCCCAGCTAGAGACATGATGAAGATGCTCAATATAAACATGTACTTTCTTCCATATCTGCAATTATAATTTTATGAATATAAACTTCAACACATTCCATTTCATATTTCAGCATCATCGTACTTGTCCGATAAAACACCGAACGTGAACGATCCCACCAGGATCCCAAAGAAATGGCTGTTTCCTACCAGCGACAGTTTATATCTGTTTTCTGGACACACAATATCATACTCCTGCACTATAGTCCTCTCATCATCAAACACCAAATCCTGGCATCTCTCCTCAGTGTCAGTCTGAAAATTCTCCACCTCACACCCATTCCCCACATGCTTGAATCGAGTGCACATTGCAGCCTTGTAGCTTGTATTGGTCTTATACATATTGGGTATGGCAATCTGCAACCATGGCTCCTCATACTTTGGGTTCACCTTGTTCTCGCAATCAGGAATTTGGCACCTTCAATCAAATCCAAGGAGAAAACTTAAAAATAGAACTGGACAATTCAATCAAATATTTACCTGTAATCAGGAGAGCCGGCTGTAAAAACGTAAGAAAGACTGTTGCCTCCTGAGAAGAGCACAGGCAGACAGATTAGCAAATACGTCGTGATCTGGAAGCGTCCCAACTCGCCCAGCTCCTCCAGCACATCGTCCAAATTCATTGTATTTAATCTGAAATAAAGATGTTATTGAAATTTCAAGTTATATGATCAAAGTTTCTACCTTAAGATATACTAAAGTAGTTAAAACGCGTTTGACACGCGAATGCCGAACTTCAGTACTCTTTTTATTGCCAAGCAACGAAGACGATTGCGAACATCGCGTTGTTATTGTGGTTTTAAATAAACCCGGAGGCATTGTTGTATATAGTGAAATAGTAATCTCGTGTTTATAATTGGAACGATCGTTACGAGAACGCCGAACACTTCATTATCAATGTAATAAACAAAACACGAAAGATGAAGAGGGAAATAGAAAGGAACAGAGAGAACAGCTTAGCGTTTTGCATAATCGTTGCAATAATTCCCGTTTATTAGATATAAAAGAGAATAATTACGTTTAGTTTATAGATTTCTTTGAAATTAGAATTGGCAATAAACATAACAGTTCAAGTAAACGATTCAACAAATATTGGATGCAACTCTATTTGCATAAATGTTAGAAAATTACCGGAAATCTTATGTAATACATTATTTTCTCTTGCTTAAACTTTCATAAAATTTGATTACAACATGGTATATCTAAGTACCTTCACAGTTTACACAAATGCGCTACTTCATACAAGGAAAATTTGACTAAGCAACTATATTTGCATCAATGCTAGGAGTTACATACCGGAAAACAGCTATCACACGAATATTCTAATTTCTTTTTAAATTGGATAATTTTTAATTAAACGAATATATAGATTTCTATACGACGTATAATATAAATTAATATAAACAAAATTAACTTACTCTGAGGAAATAAAATGATAACAATTCTAATTTATAAATATTAATGCGTGAAACTTATTGTTAGAACTTTAAGTTAATTCTCTGGATATTTTTGTAATTCATTAGCTTAGTCATATTTAAAAAAAATCATGTTTTGTTTAAAAAAAAATCAAATTGTACAAATCCATAAAGCATTCGAAGAAATATGAACAATGAGACGCAAATGGTTCGTTATCAACGATTCTTTGATAGGAAAGTGTAAATAATGATTTATATGAAAGCTTTATTGAACGAGAAATGTAAGAATTTCCCGGAAATACATTATCACTTACGTTGCAGGAATGGAATCTTAATAAGTATTAACTATATAAATAATAATGCGCGTGATAAAACGCACGGTTCGTTAAATTTTATCTCCTTTAACGAGACTTGAGTGTATAGACAGGATCATAAAAAATCACAGGAAAGTAGCAATAAAGGAACGCGTTTGAATGTAATCTCGTCAATATATTATTCTTATCTTTTTTTTGTAATTCATTCACGCATTTGAAAAAAACGCACTACAAATATTATCAACCTGAATTATTATTGTATCATGAAAATCCATTTATATTTCAAAAATATTCATAGAAGATACTAATACATCATTTTTTAGATGTTTTGGAAAAAAAATATCCCGTTAAATGTGTGCAAAATTTGATTATTTAAATTCATTTTATTCGGTATTATACACACAATTGGAATTATGAGTTCGTTTTGGAAATACCAAATGATTTATTAGATATTTTTTATGTAATTTTGTTCGAATGGATATTGAAATTGCGGCAATTTGGATTATAGTATATTCAACTTACCGGTTGCTTCGGAGACGTCGCACCAATTGGAATTGGAAAAACGTGAACGTCGTGCTCGACCTTCGACGATGATACGCAACTTACGTAAATGTTTCCAAACGCCGATAGTTCGAACTTCCTAAAATATGCAACCGGAGAGAAAGACAGAGAAGGAGAAAGTGTTAGTATTATTTGTAAAAAAAGGAAACAAAAATAGCTACCCGATTCAAGAAAAATTAAACAAAAATAGCGTTTCCAGGGCTACAAAAGTTCCGTCAAGTTATCTGTCGCGTGAAAGCGAAGAAACGCATCAAGATTTATAAAAAATTAAATGTTCTGAATTTGGAACTGTATGCAATCAGGGGTTTCGCAATAAATTAAAATTGATCGGTGAAAGATGGATTTCGATGATATCCTGGCTGGTCTGCAGAAGACGGGTATGGATCGATTTCAGATATCAACATATTTCTTGGTTTGTTTGCCACTGTTTCTGTCTGCTCAAAACGCCCTCGTCTACATCTGGACATCCAGGTCACCGGACTACAGGTAAAAAGTGAACTTTGTGATGAGTATTATGATGGCTGCATTATTTTTGTACGCAGATGCTTTGTGCCGCAATGCGAGAAGGATAATCATACAAAGTTCGATTCCGAGTTTACGCGATTCGCAATCCCCAACAAGAATAGCGATCTCAGTGCGTACGCTCCGTTCGAGTGCAGGACGTTCAAGTACAAGGGCGATGGTCAGTCGTGCACGAAGAACGATTTTACCACCGAACAAGTGGGGACTGACTGCGACAAATACGTATTCAACGACGAGGTCAGCCTGGTGCAGGAGTACGAACTGTACTGTCCGAAGAACGCTCACTTTTTATCGTTAATTGGAAATTCGCATTTCCTGGGTATACTCTGCGGTACCATCACTTTCGGCTTCCTCTCCGACAGGTCATTCAGTCACTTAAGTTTCTTGGCAATCTATGACACATTTTTAGTTGTTTTTTGTTATTGTAATAATGTGCAGGTACGGCAGGAAATATACATTCATCGCGTCCATCGTCTTCATGGGTATCGGCGGGTGCACACTGGCTTGCATGTCCACATACTCAGGATTCATGATTATCTCGTACATTCATGCACTCGGCGTATCCGGAGTCTATCCGCTTGGATTCGTTTTAGGTGATTGATTAAATTAATCTCTTCCATAAACATCTCATCCGAAATGTTTGTAGCGGTCGAGATGGTCGGCCCGACAAAACGGGAATTGGCCGGAATGGTGCTCAATATGTTTACTTCGTTCGGTGGTGGTAATCTTGGTGCTCTCGCCTGGGTAACGAGACATTGGATTTGGTATCAGTTGGCCATCGCCGTACCGTGTCTCCTCTTCCTTCCATACGCCTGGTGAATGAATAACATGTGCTATTAACTATATAGCTTAATGTGTGTATTAACAGTCTTATACCCGAATCGGTGCGTTGGTTGATCGCCAAGAAGAAGTTCCGGCAGGCGAAGGAGGTGCTCTACAAGATGGCCAAAGCTAACGGCATGGAGGTAACCAAGGAGATGGAAGACAGTCTAAAGGACACCGGGAAAGACGAGAAGAGTCCGGACATTTGGCCGATGATGAAGGGTACCCTCAAGTCCAGGAAGCTGCTGATAAGACTACTAATCGTGTTCTTCATTTGGTACATGTTAATCTTGTTCCTGCTATCTCTTTCTCTTCATCATTTAACTCATTTGGATTTCAAGGTTCGCCAATGTCTTCATCTACTACGGATTGGCCTACGTGTCCACGTACGTGTTGGGCGGTAAATACTTGAACTTCATCATGGCTTTCGTCGTCGAGATACCTAGCTACTCTTTGGCCTGGTTTTCGCTCAAGAAGCTCGGCAGGAAGATTTCGACGATCGCCTCGCTGATCCTCTGCGTGGTGTTTACCGTAATTAGCATTTGCATACCGGACTGTAAGTATTCATTTCGCCCGTCTTAACAATCCGCATCACTTCATCAATCGCACTATGTACTTCCCGAAAGCACTGGCTTGGTTGTCCACGACGATGTTCCTGTTGTCCAAGGTCTTCATTACCGCTTGCTTCGGTATCATTTACGTTTACAACTCAGAGCTCTTCCCTACCTTGATCAGAGGAGCCTGCGTCTCAACCGGATCCACGATCGGAAGATTTGGCGCCCTATTTGCACCCCTCGCCCAATACCTGGTACAAACACTCATTACGTCGCCGAGTTAATCCGATCATAACAGAATTGCTTGTTTGTTGTTATCCTTTTTTAGGCCAGTTACACGGGTAAGAGTTGGTTACCGATGGTGGTCTTCGCAGCCGTCGCCGGAGTCGCTGCCGTTTTGACCTTTTTCCTTCCGGAAACAGTCAATAAGAAATTACCGCAGACCATCGAGGAAGCGGAATCCATGTGATTCTACTCATAATCTAAAAAAATAAAATGTTTGCAGTAATCGAACATCATGTGTATTTTAGTGCAAAATATTCGATTTATTTTTGTTTCTAATTAACGGTTTTTTGACGTACAGTCTAAACTTTTGACATTTCTTTTATATATTTTTTGAAAGCAGTTAGAGTTAACGTTTAGTAATATGGATTTCGATGATATGCTTGGACATCTGCAGAAGGGTAGCATGGACACCTTTCAGATTACCACCTACATATTGGTCTGTCTACCAATAATCCTATCAGGCGCCAATGGTCTAGTCTACATTTGGACTAGCGGATCTCCGACCTACAGGTACTTACAAACGAACGAACTAGAAAATACCGGAATTGAAATCACGACCTCCACCCTCCCCTTAAAGATGCTTTGTGCCGGGATGCGACGATGAGAAGCACCCTCAGTACTACGCGCCCTTCGTCGACTTCACAATTCCCGCAAAGTCTGAAAACCAAAACATGCTGCGCGAATGCAAGCAATACAAGTACAAGGGCGACGGCAAGTCTTGCAAGAAGGAGGATTTCACGAAGGACATCATTGCTAAAGATTGCGACAAGTTCGTATTCGACAGAGAAGTGACCATCGTGCAAGAAGTTTGATAACAAATATCTCGTCGAAATCGATGATCTCGAACTAAATAATAATCATATTTTTAGTACGGATTGTATTGTGAAGAGAACGCTTTCTATCAGACTTTAATCGGCGATGCCCATTTTGCCGGCATCCTTATTGGAACGATCTCCTTCGGTGCTCTATCCGATAAGTAAGTGCATCCATTTTTTTTTTCTTGTAAGCTGAGAATCGTTGTGATAAATTGGAGATTTCAGGATTGGCCGTAAATACCCTTTTATTACTTCCATAATACTGATGGGTTTGGGGGGCTGCACCCTAGCCACGATGTCCACGTATTGGGGCTTTTTCGTGGTATCTATAATTCATGCCATCGGCGTTTCCGGAGTCTATCCCTTGGGTTTCGTACTAGGTGAGTATGGATTGAAGAATGCTTATTACAACTAACAGATCTATTTGAGATCATTTCTAGCTGTCGAAATGGTCGGTCCCAAGAAACGGGAATTGGCAGGGATGATTTTAAATTTCTTTTGCGCGGGAGGTGGAGCAACCCTCGGATTGGTCGCATACTTAACAAGACATTGGGTCTGGATTCAATTGACCATCGGGTTTCCGTGCATCTTTTTTGTACTATATATTTGGTATGAATCATCTATCCATCCACACTACTACTACTTCATATACTATATCTAGTTAATACACGATTTTATTTTCAGCTGCATACCTGAATCTGTTCGTTGGTTGATCGCCAAGCAATATTACAAGAAGGCCAAGGAAATCATATTGAAGATGGCGGCCGTTAACAAGATGGAGGTAACGCCGGAGATTATGAACGGGCTCAGGGAGACAAAGAGTAACACGGAGGTGCACGTGGACATTTGGCCGATGATGAAGGCCATGTTAAGACGGAAGACTCTGATAATTCGACTGTTCATCATCTTCTACCTATGGTTGAGGAACATTTGTCATTTGCGATAAAACTAGCGAAATTGCACATACCTGATTTAGGTTGGCGAATGTCTTCATCTACTATGGGCTGGCTATATTCTCGACAAGTATCATCTCCGGCAAGTACATCAACTTTGCCGTGAGCTTCGTAGTCGAAATCCCCAGTTACACTCTTGCATGGTGGATGTTGAAGAGACTTGGACGTAAGATCTCGACGATATCCACACTCATCCTCTGCGTCGTCTTCAGCACGGCCACTGTTTTTGTTCCGAAAAGTTGCAAATATCGATTCACGAAGAGCAATTGTAAATCATTAATTCGTTTAATCGTTGCAGATATCGAGTGGTTGGTGGCTTGCATGTTCATGTTGTCCAAGGTCTTCATAACTGCTTGTTACGGAATGCTCTACGTCTACAATTCGGAGCTCTTTCCCACGTTAGTGAGGGGTGTAACCGTATCAACGGGATCGACGATCGGTCGAATCGGAGCAATGCAAGCACCATTCGTCATCATACTGGTAACGCATTCTTGGAAAACATCAACGAAGCGAAGATGCAATATTTACGTACACACTAATAATTGATATTTCAGTCTCGTCGAGCTAGTTGGTTGCCGATGGTCGTCTTCGCGATAGTGGCCGCAATCGGCGCCGGTCTAACCTTCTTCTTACCGGAAACACTCAACAAGAAGCTACCAGAAACGATAGACGAGGCCGTCAACTTGTAGAGTACAGCGATCATCGAAAACCCGGAAAAATAAACAGTTAATATTATTTATTCAAGGAACCAGAGAAACAATCACAAAGAAAAGAAAAAATATAATCGATGATTTACATAATTATGTATATAAATTGTTCATACTTAATACTATTATATATTTACACGCTTTTTAAATTATTATAATGTCGATATTCTGAAATGAAACAATTCAGCTTACAGAATATCAACATTAGGTTAGGTTATGATTTAGAAAACAATCTCATCGCCTGAGTCGTAGCTCGTGCTGTCCGATGGCGAAGAGTCAATTTCGCTTCCACTAAGATCCGTCCACAGATCTTCTGATTCATCGTCATCGTTGTCGTTTGTGTTCGCTTCGGCATCGTCAGCATCCATATCTAAAATTGTTGGTACTAAAAAAGAGTATTATTATATGATATAGCTCTTATTATTCATCGTCATTAACAACTCACTGTCTGAACCATCGTCGTCGGAGCCCATATCGTCCTCCTCGTCTTCTTCCTCCAGATCATCTTCGTCGTCCCTCCTTCGCCCGACATCGTACAATCTGACCACAGACTCTTTCACAGAATGATACATACCCTGATTCTCAACCACAGCAATCAACGTGTCGAATTTGTTCACGACCAGATCGTGAATATTCCTTTTCACATCAATTGTGGCGATGTTCGAGTAATCGACTGCATCGATTGTCTTGAAGCTCGAATCGAACATCGTGTCTTCGTCTGTTTCCTGCTCCATTTTTAAAGCGTATATCACGTTATTGAGCGGTGAGAACAGCGGAGTACATTGGTTCAATGCGGGCACAGTTTTTAGTAAATGGAACGTTCGCAAATCCCACACTTCCGTATTAGATACGATCTACAGAAATATTATTTAAACAGCTGAATTTGTAATACAAAATAATCATCATTACCTCGAACCGATTTGGATGAAAAACGCCACTCTGCGTTTGATTTAACTTATCCAACTTATGAATTGGCTTACCAGAAGCAACGTCGAACAGAACGCCATCCGATAGTACCAATTCATCGTTAGGACTGAACGTCGCCATATTCTTTGTGTACTGATTACTAATGGTGGGAACTAAATTCTGTATACGCAATCCCGTTGCAACATCAAATATCTACAATTATAAATCAAAATTATATTATTACTGTAATATACAAATAAATAAATTACCGTTGCAGCTTCTCCTTCGGTTCCTAAAATTTTGTCTTGCGATACTTTACTGAACTCGACGTAATCTTCATTTTCTAGTGGAAACTTCATATCATAGTCTTTCATAGACCAGAGTGCGGATAGCGGTCTACCCCAGGTCGTGCTAGTGAGGAGAAGATCACCCTTCCAATTCGGTTCCATATGCATGATATAGCTGTCGTGCGCTTGGAACATGGATTCCACGTTTCCGGTGTTCATATTGAAAAGCCGTACTTCTCCGGAGAAATCACCGACTACGATGTTCTTATCACCGGGCATGAATTTGGCGCAGGTGAAGAACAAATCGTCGTTGGGCAATCGTATCGTCTGTACAGGGCAAAACCTGGAGTGGGTTAGTCTTCGGTCCATATTCCTTGACTGGAAGCCCATCTGCCTCCTGGCGCAACGCACGATGAAATTGTTTGAAGCTGTTATCCTAGGTTTAGGATCTGGACACTTGTGAGGACTGCAATGAACATCAACCGATCAAGTTATTGATATACGCATTAATCTAAAGTACTTACACAAACAAATTGAATTGTGGACAGGTGGCCATAGGATTTTTGCACAGAGCGTGCTGATTGGTCAGGTATTCCGTTATGATGGATTCGAGCGTTATTCGTGGCTCTACATTGTTATCTTCTATTGATGTGAGAGGAAGGACCTTCATGTGCTGTGGTTCATTGGAAATTTGCTTTTGCAGCCTAGAATTCGGCGGAGTGCTTACCACAGGTGTACTTACAGAGTTATTTATTTTTCTAAAAGGGAAAAATGATTTAAAATAATTTAAATAAACATATATGTACAAAATTACTTGATAATTTTAATTGCTGGACTGTTCGAAGGGCCTCCACCGTTCAAACCGGACGTCGTCGATTGACTCTCCTGGGCTGCAGTGATGCTGAGTTGGTTGCGATGAATCGGTGTATGCGTCGAAAAAGATAATCTCGTCTAAGAGAAAGCATTAGTTAGTCACAAATATCATGAATATTATTTAATGACTTACTCGAGTTGGTGTTGAAGGTGACGAGTAGCGGAATTTCGAAGGATGGTTCTGATTTAATAAGGTGACGGTTGCAAGATTTGCTTCCTTTTGCAAGGCACTCGCCGTGTCTGACAAACCTTTCGACATGAGATGCTGATGAATCAACTGCATTAACTGTTTATCGTTGAATTGAATTTTTGTTTGTGCAACGACACTAGCCTGAAATTATTGACAATTAACGAGATCAATTAAATAATTTATTTCAAGACTCTTACCCGATGTATGTTCACCAATGAAACGTCTGTATCGCTATTGCTTTGTGTTGCTTTACCGGATAACCTTTCTAGAAGCTCCAGAGCGTACTTTTGAAAAGTCACATGCTCTTGTCTTTTCTCCTGCAAAATTGGATCCCGCATCAAACCTGAAAATAATCATAAAATAAATTTAAACCCATCAAATGCAAATAAAATATTTACTTTGTAATTGTCCATTTTGAAAGAGCGGCAATTTGGAGACAATTTGCTTGACCGTATCCGATCTGGCTAAACCGGCTAAAGCTTTGCATGCCAGTGTTCTCATACAATCAGCATCTGTGATAGGTATCTTAATGTTCATCAATTGCAACAATACCTAACAACAAAATCATTTCAATTCACAATATATTAAAACATTGAATACACTTACCATAATCCCGTTATTCGTTCGAAAACAATCCCATACGCGTTGGATAAGCTCTTCTGAACTTTTAACTTTGGTCTTTTTGCTTGGAGATTGAGTCGAGCCAGATGAAAAACGAGACATGTTTCCACCGATCTGCAAATAAAATGAACCTTATTATGTGCTTAAAGATATATATTTTTTAATTACCCTATTTACAGGTGCACAAACGCAGTTTACTATTATCCTAAGAGCAGACTTTTGAACGTCTGCGTCGGCGACAATCTCCCCCTCAGCGGCGCCAAGTACAATTGTAATACCTTGTGTAATAAAATAATTAAACAAATTTGTAAAATATAATTTATAATTATATATAATATACCAAGAGTAATAGATTCTTCTGGAAGGTCCACCCTCTCACACAGTAGCATTTGAACTCTTGGCATAACGCAAGCGATGTATATAACATCTAATGCGCACCTGACTGTTTCCGCTCTGCCACTGTAATTCCATTCGTAAGCGAATGCTATGATCTTCAGCAGCAACGTGATCGCCCCTAACTTGAGGAGTTGCTCTACTGGCAACCAATGCATTTTGAAGGGCATATTCTGCAGCAATGTCTCGATCTGTTGTTCCACTTCTTCCGGTGATGACTTGCATGGCTGAAACGAGTCGGCATATAGGTAAATAGACAAGTTGATTGGTCAGAGATAAGTTCATTACTTTATAAGTAGGCTGCGAAGGAATCGAAGGTAAACCGGATCGTTCAGATGGTCGCATCTGAGATCTTCTCATTTGTTCCGATTTAGTGGACAAATGCGCTTCCAAATATCTCTTGTACGCGACGCACACGTGCCGCACGATTTGTCTCGCAGCACATTCTGTGTCCTCATTAATAGGTACTGCGTCGTTCGATAAAATTGATAATGTGGAGATCTGTGGACAACATATCCGTTAATAGAGAAGGAAAACAAAAAACACAATTTATACTTACAACATTATGCAATTTACGCAAACCGTCCTGAGCATCAAATTCATCTAAAACGACTTTAAATTGAAAGGTCAGTCCGAAGAACATAGTCGCGTGGCATCGACCGGAATCGTGCGAGCATTCCAATAACCAAAGAGCATACTGAACCAAATTTGAAAGCATATACTTAGGAAGTAAGCAAACCCGCTCCATCGCTTCTTCGCAATAACCCAGGTAATACAAACAAATAGATACACCGGTTGCTGCTATCGAGGGTCTCGGCACCTCCAATAAATACTAAAATGGACATTTAACACCAATTTTATACAATTCAAATTAAAAGCTTACGTCTAATCCTTTAAATTGAATAAATTCAATTGAGAACTTCTTGTGACATAATAACGCAGCCAAATACTTCAAAGCTTCGAAAGCCAAGCGAGCTTTTTTCGTTTCCCTAACATTCACGTAGGATAATATTAGTTCCAGAGCATTATTCTCAAAAACGTGACTCAAATACTGGAAAAACAAAATTAAATGTGGTGTAGACAAAATAACTCTTATCTTTATATACGAATGCTTACCTCTTGATATTCTCCCATGGGTGTTAGATAACGTAAAATTAATATTTGTCGCGTCGCATGTGTAGGTGGAAAGATCTGTATGCTTCCAATCATGAAGGTCTCCAGCTCGGCCCAAGACGAATTGCTGGATTCATTGTGAACTACATCTGTGCATTAAAAAATCGGTGTAAGCGACTCATATGTAAATTATTTAAGTGTAAACATACTTTTATTATATAATACACTCCGTGGCGGTGGACTTTTGATGGGTGTTGGCGGAGACGGCGATAGATCCAACTTAAGCTTTTTCCTAGCGTTACAATCCTCTTCGTTCTTTTAAATTTTGCCAATTAATATTTCTCTAATATATTTTATTATAGAATAAACTTACGTCTCCATCTGTCCGCACACTGCATCCACTGTGTTGCATCTCCAAAAACGCCTGTGGCCGTTTCACTGGCGTAAGATGCCCATTTTCCACTTCTACAATTATAAATTACTAATATCTTCACTTAAAAAAAGCTTCCTAAGTACGAATGTCTTACGTCTCTGTGCACTATCGTCTTTCATTGGTGATTTGGCAAAATGTGCAAAAGGCCTTGAACTCTGTGTTGCTTGGATTGGTATAAAATCTGAATTTTTCTGTAAACGTCTCAATCTCTTCAAGAACAATGGAACCAATTTTGAGTTTTGTTCCCTGCAAAAAATTTCAATACTATAAACTGAAGATTACACAACAGGAATATCACTCACCTAAATCTGGTTGCTATTTCTGGTATTTCCATGGCTGCAGCTAGTAAACCTGTTGCATATGTTTGCAATGGTTCAATAGATTCAGTAGCCCATTTAATTAGTCTAAGTATTAAACCATCATGATCAGGCTGCAATATTACATTAGAATGGTAAGACAAGAATATTAGAATGAAATAATTCTGTTATTACCTGAAACACAACAGTAGTTTCTAAACCTGGTAATATGTCAAGCATCAATCGACAAGCTCCTATATTTAATTGATCAACACTCCTTCCTGTGACTGATAATCTAGAAAAATAAGTATCTCTAAGGTAGTCATTAACTAATTTAGTCATGAAGGACTCCTTTTTGAAAAGGGCTTTCAATATTTGACCAAGCTTGCATTCTGGATCAGCACGAGATGGATGCCTCTCATCAAATGGGTCTGGGTCCATTTTTAAATAATTTTCTGTTTCTATTTCAATAATCTCAGCCAATCTATAAACAAGTAACAAGAAATAGGTAAGTTTTTTAATCTTTAAACAAGTCTCAACTTGTTTATGGATCATTACAAATGGTCACAAATCCAAACAAAATTTTATAAACAAAGGAAATATCATTTGATTGTTTTGCATATGCTATCTCACCTATTCAATGTTGGAACAGGATCATACATCGGAAGCTCATGCTGTTCTTCCCATTCCTTGATCAAATTGGTTACATCAGCCATGACATTTGAGGGCTCCATGGTGTCAGCAGGCAAACACACCTCACCAACAGCTCAGAATACTTTATTTGTTCGAATCCAAATATTATTGTTTAACAGAAATAAACACATGAGGTTAGAAACATAACCTGAAATGATTATACGTTGAAATAGCGAATGACCTTCTCTATTCGGAAAATAGTTAATAGGAATGAATATCAGGCGAGCCGGTAAATGTCGTACCTACTGAAAATAGTGGTTTTGCACTTGATATGGATACGAAATTCACAGACACAGCGATAAAAACAAAAAAACTTATAGAAAATATCTGCACAAACTTTTCCACAACTGTCCACTTCGGTATCTTGGTTGTAAATAACAAAAATTTTCGCTGCTGACTTCAAGTCAATGAAAACATAACGCAATTTATTTGGTTCCATTGGTTCATATTTTTTTGCTCAACAAAAGGACATATAACGTATCGTATATATAAACACAATATAAAATTATTGTAATGATATGTATTCATAAAATTTACTTTTATTAGCGAATAAAAGCTTTATCATTTTTCTAAGATTTTTTTCTAATAGTTGTCAACATGAATCAAATTAAGTTTTTCGTTAAAAATAAACAAGAACTACTTTTGTAGGTTATTTTAAAGAAGAAATGCAAAATGTTATTGAAGACTGTGCGAAACCTGAGATGTTTGCACCAGAAACGGCTGTGCTCCAATGTGAGAACGCCGGAAAACCGGATGCGCGCCTGGCAGATACATTCCTATGGGGATTTAGGTGAGCTACAGCTCTCGAAAACCCGACTCCCCATCATCGCAAGCCCCAAAGAACTTCTTGTAAAAGTAGAGGCGTCCTCTATAAATCCAATAGATTATATGATGATCGGAGGGTATGCAAAGACAGTTGCCAATTTCTTCAGAAAGTATGAATTGGAATTTCCTTTGATCTTGGGAAGAGAATTTTGTGGCACAATCTTAGATAAAGGACAAGATGTCACAGATCAATTCAAGGTTGGGGATCCCATTTATGGTGTAGTGAACATTCACAAACCAGGGAGCCATGCAGAAACTGTAATTGCAGAAGAATCATTGGTAATTAAAAAAATAGAGTAATTTAATTTGAATTTTAATTGGATTGTTTTTCTAGATTTGCCATAAACCAAAGAATTTGAGTTCAGTGGAAGCAGCTTCAATAATGTATGCAGGTTTGACTGCTTGGTCGGCGCTCTTTATCACTGGTGAATTGAGTATCAGGAATCCTAAATTGTCAAGGGTATTGGTTTTGGGGGCATCTGGAGGAGTTGGAACTTTGGCTGTACAAATGTTAAAGTCTCAGGGATCTACAGTTGTTGCCACATGCTCATCAAATGCCATCCCCTTGGTGCAATCACTAGGAGTAGATCAGACATTCGATTATGCGGACATCAACTTCACCAATAACATAGCGGAACAAGGATTGTAAGTTATTACTTTTTTTTGTCACCTTTTTGTATTCACGAACATTTTATAGTTACGACATTATTCTGGATTGCGCCAAATTCGGTTACGACAAGGTTCCGAGCGAGTGGAGATACAACAAGTTCATAACTTTGAATTCGCCGTTGATGAACAATGCGGATAACTTCGGATTGCTGGGCGGATTCGCAGCGAGTGCGAAGGATTTGCTTTTCGCTAACTTCGCCAAGTGTCCCCAGGGGCAGTCGGTGAGGTGGGGTTTCTTCACACCTTCGCAAAGCGGAATTCAATTTATCGATAAGCTCGTCAAAAATGGAAAAGTGTGTAATTCGATAAACAAACATTCTATCAATAATTATTTCGAAATTTCCAGATTAACCCTGTGATACACAAAGTGTTTAAGTTTGATGAACTTCCCAAGGCCTATGAGTGTTTGCAAGAAGGACATTTGAGAGGGAAGATTGTTATAGATTATAATTAGATTATTTGTTGATACCTTAAATCTTTGTTAATATTTGTTTTAATCAATATAAAACTATTATTTATTGGTGAATTTTTCTTATTCCCTTCTGGCAGAGCCTTACTGCATTTAGACAAGTCCTTGCATAACTAATGGATATGTTGGTTGCATAATTTGTGACTTTGACAACAACTATAACCTCAATATTTGCAGGAATAGCAGTATATTTATGTGAATGGTATTGAATTAAAATGTTGTTGAATACATCTAGAATTGCAACTAAACGCTTTATAAGGCAATTTTGCAATGAGGTAAGCTAAGGTTTTTTGGAAATCATTATGTAATTAGGGGTGTTATTGTGCAGGTTAATGAATCAAAGTACCCAAGAAAGGTGTTCTCTGGAATCCAGCCTACAGGAGCTGTTCATCTAGGTAATTATTTGGGTGCGATTAAGCAGTGGACGAAACTGCAAGATGACAATGAAGATATGACACTTTCTGTGGTTGATTTACATTCTATCACTCTTCCTCAGGTACAATTATAAACAAAAGTGAGACAGATAGTTGCATTTTTAATTCTTGTTTCATTACAGAATCCAAAAACTTTATCGAAAAACATATTGGAAATGACCTCAACGCTACTTGCATGTGGCATTGATCCGGATAAAACGATACTTTTCCAACAATCTGCTGTTCAGGAGCACACGGAATTGTGTTGGCAATTGGGTTGTATTTCTACTATGGCGAGGCTCGCGCATTTACCGCAATACAAAGAGAAATCTGAGAATCTGAAGGATATTCCATTGGGATTATTTGTATATCCAGTGCTCCAGGCTGCAGATATATTAATCTACAAGTTAGTGCACTTTCTATAAGTCTTTGGCATTGATTAAGCTACATTTGGGAATAGGGCTACGCATGTACCGGTCGGCGAAGATCAGCTGCAGCATTTGCAACTGTCCCAGGATCTGGCGAGGATGTTTAACAACCGTTTTGGTGAAACTTTTCCAATTCCACATTCGATTATTTCAAGTTGGGTTTTTATGAAAATGACGAAGTTTTTATTTTTAAGAGGATAATGTATTTGTAGATGCAGGAAATGCGCGTTTGAAGAGTCTCAGAGATCCGCTGAAGAAGATGTCCAAGTCAGATGCGGACCCGAAAAGTCGGATTTGTTTATTGGATTCCACCGATGAAATAGTTAATAAAATTAAGAAGGCAGTCACAGATTTCACATCAGAGGTAAAATATAATTGTCAATGATATTCATATATAAAAACATATGCCAAATAGGTGAGCTATGATCCGGAAAATAGACCAGGCGTGTCCAACCTGATAACCATTCATTCGATTCTGAGCGGGAAGTCGGTTGAGCAAATTTTGAATGAATCTCGCGGTTTGGATACTGGAAAGTAAGTAGGTATACTTCACAAATTAAATTTAAACGCGATTTTGTGTGTAACTAGGTACAAATTGTCTGTGGCAGAGGACGTATCTGCTTATATCAAACCTATCAGGGAGCAGATTGAGAATTACATGAGGGATCCTCAATATATAGTGGAGGTGTTGAAGGGTGGAGCCGATAGAGCTAGGGAGACGGCTTCCAGAACGGCGAGCGAGGTTCGCAGAAAATTAGGAATGACCTTAAGAGTCAAATCGAAAACCAAAGTTAAAGTTGCCAATCAATAAATGACTCCATTGAATTAAAATATTTTTATGTTATGGCACAATTTCGTTTCATTCTGACCCATTCTTTAGTTATTTTTAGAACTATAGATAATAATGGAGTAGGAGATGTGTATATTTGGTTTTTTCAAATTTCAGAAGATAAAAATTGTTTATTTATAAACTAAATGTTGATGTGCACAAATGGTTAAAATATTATTATAATCATTATCTTACTTAGCAGATGACAAAATCTTGTATCAAAAATCTGAAATAAAAAAAAGAAAATTTTAGAAAATTGAAGAAAATACTATATCGAATATATATTGTTTTGTATATTTCAGTTAAATTTTATCCACAACATTCCACCTCGTCTGGGGGGTTCTCCTATTTCTAGGTCCCAGGCGGATTGGTGGAATTTAAGACACATATTATCATCATAATAATAATATTTTAGGCTGTTTTGAATTTACAATATTTTTAATAGAATATTAATTTAAATTATACTTACATATTATGAATATTCTGGAGATGAACTGCAAGTGTTAGCTAGTTGAATGCTAAAATTAGAAAACAAATATCTAATTAGTTCTTGTTAATGCTCAGTTTGATAATTTTGATTGAATGAAATGGAATCAGTGATAAGTTTATCCACATCATTTCACCTCATCTGGGGGGTTCTGCTATTTCTAGCTCCCAGATGGATGGTGAAATATAAGGCTAACTATTCATCATTTTAAAATTATTATGAAGTAGTAGAAGTTTAAAGAAAAACTTACTTTTTGGAATCAAGAGATGTAGGTTCAAGTGTTGTTGGGCTATGTAATCTGAAATCTAAAATAAAAGGTAATTATTGATATGATCTTAATAGGTAATGTTGATAGATATTTGTTTAATATTGAAGTCAGTTAAAGTTTGTCCTCATTTAACTCTACTATTGTTTAGCGAGCATATTTCAGAGACGAAAAATAAAGTCATCATGTAAAAAGTTAGAAAGTTCAATATTGAGGAATGTGAAAACTAATTTAAAATATAATTGAAAAGTAAAATTACCTTTTAAAGCAGTGTTCCAAGAAGTGTCTGCCCCTCAGCTGAAAAAATAAAACATAATCTATTGTGATTAGTAAAAAAGTGAATGTTTGGAGGATGGTGTAGAAATTAATGGTCTTGTATGTCAAATTATGTCTTCATGTTTATTGTTATGACAGTCTGGTTACAACAACAAATCGCGTAGTCTGCGAACTTAATCGAAAAGACCGAAACCCATATCATCATCTTCTTCCTCCTCAGACTCCTCCTTCTTCTCTTCCTTGGCTGGCTTAGCGGCAGCGGAAGAAGCAGCGGCGGCAGCCGGGGCTGGAGTAGCGGCGAATTTGCTGGGGTCCTTGATGTACTCCTTGATGGTGGTGGCTTCCTTGAACTCGACGTCGGTGACGGCGGCGATGGCCAACAAGTTCTTGAATCCGTTGGCGATGCTGTGTGGAGTGGAAGCGGTGGTTGGGTATCCAATGGACAAACAGACGGAGGCCAAGTTGGCGACACCAGCCATGAACTTCTCCCTGAGATCCTCGGGCTTGATGTCCAAGATCTCCGGAGCGAACAGAGTGCCGGAATCGTAGACCTGCTCGACGAGCAGACCGTATGAGAACGGAGAGATGTTCAACATGTTGAGGAGGGTAGCCTCGGAGGCTCCGACCTTGTCGCCAGGCTTCAAGATGTGCACATCGTTGATGATTTCAATTGTTCCCTTGGAAATCTTGGTTGGGATAGACAGAGCCTGGAAGAAAGAGGTCTTCTCAGGACCCAAACCGGTGTTTTGGGCTGGGATGATGACGGACAACGGAGCGATGGCACCTGGACGAGCTGGAGCGCGGACTTTGTTCTCGAGAAGCTTGTCACGGATCTCGACGAGATCGTTGCGGGTGAACACGAAGCCCACGTTTCCCTTGATGTGCGGGAGCAATTTCTCCAAGGAGTTGTTCCTTTCCAGATGTCCCTTGATGGCCTTACGCATCATGGTGTTCTTGCCCATGAGTACGACGGCGCTGCCGCGGAGCGACATACGGATTTGTTGCATTTGTTTGGAACCGACATTGTCAGCGCCCACAATGAAACACTTTGGGTAGTCTTCCAAAAGTTGCTAAAAAGAGCAAATTCATACATTAACAAAAACATCCCTAAAATTTAATAAATAAAATGACTTACAATGAGTTTAAGGAAATAGTTTGATTTCCAGGTTGCTTTGTCCTCCCTACCCATCTTGATGTGTATAGGGACTCTTTAATGAATTTAAGAACTGTAACAAAAATAAAATCAATTAGCTTTCAAATTAAAATCTAGGAAATAAGATTAATTTTCTATATAATAAATAAATCAGGGCAGAAACACCTTATTCATTAGCCATTTGGTCAATGTTTTGACTAATAAGTATGTTTAATAAATAAATTCAACATAAATATTATTTAAATTAGAAACAATACCTCTTAAAATTTTTAACATTTTGTACTTAACCGATATATTTCCACGTAATTTAAATATATGAGATATAAATTGAAATAACTGCAACGCGTCAAAGTAACGCAAAAATTTAACCTCAAAGAATTGAATAAACAAACAGATTTCGAGCAGAATTTAAGTGAAATTGAGAAAAATATATATGAAACTCATCGAGAAAATCGAATCGAAACATATGTACCCAGTTTTCTTATGGAAAACTGCAAAGATTGCAACAATAAACAAAGATTTTAGGTGAAAAATTTGAGAACAGTTCTTACCAAAGCCAAAGATACGGACGCAGTGAACGAATTTCCGTTTCGATAGGGACAAAGCCACCTCACCAGGTGGCGTTCATGTTACTTTCATCGAGCGCGGCAAATACGAATTGAAAAAGACATCTGTAAATTTCAATATCTAATTTAATGCACAGTTATTTCATTGAGTAGTTATAAATTTTCTTTTTGATTTTTAATTATTAACTACAAATATGTAAATAATTGAGAATGTAAAAAAAAAATATTTTTTTTTTATAAATTGTCGCAAGTCGAGAAGGTGCTGTATTCTATTAAAATGGATTTGGTAGATGGCAGAGATAATTTTTCGTGTGATTGGATGTGCAGTAATAATGTATCCGAATTTGCATGCAAATAGGGTATCGTCTGAGAGGTGTGGGTTGCCGGCAATCGGGGCGATTGATCTGCGACCGAAAGCCCTTCGCGATCCGCGCGCTTTGCGATTATGGTAATTTGGAGGAATATCGCCGATGATGATCACGATGATGATGATAATACATGTTGGTATACACGCAAATTAATCAAATGCGGAGAGAGGTCGAGACGAGACGAGCGACCAAATAAAAAAAAACATAGCGGCCCTTGAGAAATCTTTTAATTAGGATTAACTCGCTTGATTGGGGTTGGGCGCGCCCTTAATCAAAGACACCGTCGCCGGAGGCGCGAGTAAAATCCGTGCTTTAATTAGACCCGAGCGCGTCTTTTCATATATTTTCTTTTGCTACACCCTCGATACAATTCAATTCCTGATTGTGCAAGAAAAAAAGGAATAACAATTTAATTTTATAATTACTAGATTCCCAAGGAAAAGGCTTGATCACAAGTTGGACTCCGCAAAAGGAAAACTCAGTCGAACCCTTCAATTATTGCCGAGATATTAATTCTGAAAATAATTATGCAAAAAATATCACATAAGTAACGAGTATTTTTAAATTTATATTTCAACTACATTAATAACAACAAAATACGTTTTTGTTTCAATTTTTTCACATTATACAATATTGAGCAATCATGATTTCTCACATGGTTATTTCTTGTCTCTGAAATATAAAATACTAAACCATAATAGAGTTAAACGAGAACAAAATTTTACTAACTACAATATTAAACAAATTACAATAATCATTTTCTTTTAAAATCATATTAATAATGAACGGTATAAAAAAAAAATCGGAAAATGTTATGATTAATAAAGTAAGTTTAGTAGTAATAGTAAGATTGGATTAACAAGTTTCCACTAATGGTGTATTTTACTATAATACAATTCAATTTGGATTCGCACTATATTGGATGGTAATTACACTGAAGATACGGGCTTCTAGCGAGGATTCCTTTGTTCGTGTACATGTAAACTTAGATCAATTTCATATTAGGAAGTTCGACAACTAGAACGGTCCTCGGATTTGAATATAGTAGGTTATGGAGAAACGAGAACATATGAATATGAAAAATCGTCGGAGGTGACAAAAGAAAATCGGATTTGGTGGGGTCATCGATCAAAGCCCACCCACAAAACAGAAAATAAATAAATCCTCGCGCACAGATAAAGCCAATGAGCAAAGATCAACAAGGACCATACAACGAAAATAAAAAAATAAAAACAAAAGAGAAACGAAAATATCAACACCGCCATAAAGATTTATGTGGCCATTATCTTCGGGCGTATTTGTATTATTTGTCCGTCGATTTATACGATCCAGATTATATAATAAATCCCGATTCCATCGGACGCGTGCATCACATAACACGGACGTGTGCATCGAAACAAATACGAATTCATGTACACGCTTATTACGAACGTCGGAATTGAATCTGCTTTGCAATCTTTGAAACGTGCACATAAAGTTAACTAAATGGAAGAAATGGAAGACTCGGGTCCCGTTTTGGAATCGATTCGTTTCGACTGTTTGAAATTAATTCTTGTAAATTTCATTCAAAAAGTGTAAAAATTTACTAGATTTTTTTATCGCGAATATCTGGTATTTCTTATGTTATCAAATTGAAAAGAGTTAAAAATCTAGCAAATCTAGTAATTTTCATTTGTTAAATTGAAAAAACTTAATAATTACTAGCTTTTCTTTTATAGTAAAAATCTTGTTATTTTATTTTATTAAATTAAAAATAGTTAAGAATTTGTTTCATAGCAAAAATCAAGTAATTTACTTTTGTTAAACAGAAAATTGAAAAGAATAAAATGTGAATATTATAAAATAAACAGCATGGAAATCAAGGTGTTCCACAAGGCACTATTCTCAGTATTCAACATTGAATATATTTATCTATGGAATTCTAAGATCAGCATTAAACTAAAGTCAATAATAATAAACAATTGCGGCCCTGCATACCATGTATCTGCGACGTTCCTTTGTCCTACGAGTTGCCGTTGTCATCTGCATCATCAACATCGGAATTAATATTAAGCCATCCAAAACTATAATCCCATCATTCCTATCCCCGTTTTCAGACGCAGAACCTAACCTAACTAAACACATGCTACGAGAGTCCCGCAGCCCCCGTCGATCCGCACAATGCGGAAAATTTATTCAAATCCGCCCCCGCACTTTGCAACCTCATTAGAGCCCCTCTCTTCCTACTCAACCACCTCATCCACCTTCGTCTCACACTCCTCCCTTAATTGTTACTAAATCCCACCCCCCCATTCAGTCGATTTATGCTCGAAACAACGCCATCAGCAAAATCAACAACGACAACGAAGACGAAAAACAAAATTTACGCGCATTTCGATTATTCTTTGCTCCCGACGTTTTATTAATTAGTCGCGCTCGAGATTTGAATGCCATGTCAACATTCAAAAACAAATAGAACGATTAATTTCAATATCGATATTACAGGTGATATCGATTTTCGTTAATCAAAAAATAATTTTGGCATATAAAATTCAAAACAGCCTTTTTTTAATTCTCAATCGAAAACGAATCTAAAATGGTTGAAAACTAACTTAATTTCAATATGCAGCAGATTTTTCATTGAAAAAAAAATATAATTGGATGTTTTTGCAAATGGGAATTGAATGTTGATTTCGAACATGTTAATGTTGAAACAATAATGTTGAAATGGGAAACAATAAGTAATTAAAATAATGAATGGAATTGTGCAATCGTACGTTTTACGAAATAAGCTTGAATCCGAAGTAAAAGGGAGAAGACAAAATCGAACATATAGAAATGATAAATAATGAGGAAAAAACTTTACAAGGCATATCATTAGCTTTGTGTGAGCCCCAATTACGTTGTACCTGCGTTGATATTTGCTATTATATTATTATTTTATGGATCTGAAATGTTTGCTCTTCGTTCGATTCGTGACATTTTTGTAAATTAAATAAATTGTCAATCTTCCAAATAAAGTAACGGTGGTCATCATAATAAAAATAATAGTAAACTACAATAAGAATATACGAGAGCAAAAATATGATACGTGTACTTTTTTCTTCATTTGTCGGTCGTATTATAACTTTTCCCATTTCTACTTTTGCACACCAGAGACGTGAGTTTTGTCTTACAAAAAAAGTACATTTGTACTTCGAAAACTAAATCATACACATACATAATGCAATGATTTTTGTTGGTAACATTATTAATAATTTGAAATTACGACCGTTTTCATTTAGTTTGCATTTTTTTTAATGAAAATTCTTATTTTAATTTATTCTTAATTATTGGAAAATATAACAGATTTTATCAATTTTGTATATACATCTCGATACATGGTAGTTAGGTTCTTAAGAAAAAAAGTGTAAATTGAAATTATAACTTTTTTGAATGTAAAATTGTGTAATTTCATTGTTTATTAATTATGATTTTTTTATTATTATTACTAAAGCAATCTAACATATGACATAGATATCAAGCTTTATGAATGTGGTAAAAGAAAAATAAAAAAGGACACTATAATGCTTAACCCCACTTCACATATAAAATAATTATTTATGCACTTGCAAATATTAATTTATTGATTATTAAAATCGGTTGGGTAATTCTTGCGGTTTAAACCTCTTCAGTCTTCGACGATGATCTGCAGTATTCATCAGCTCCGTAGCCAGTTGATTTGGGTGATTCTCTAGCCGATGATGGTATCTTGTGCTAGCCTATGCTATTTCTTCCTTGACGAAACTGATGTTAGCCTGCTTATGGATGTCATCGTTTGTGAAGAACCATGGAGCATTGGTAATTTTCCTCAGCGTTTTGGACTGGAATCTCTGTATTATATCAATACTGGTGTTACAGGCAGATCACCAAAGCTGAATGCCAATATCGGTTTTAGAACGGCTTTATATAGGAGCACTTTGTTTTCTGTTGATATGCAACAGTGTCTTCCTATTAGCCAGTCCATCTTCCTAGCCCTCAGATTGAGACATTTTGTCTTGGTTGTTATATGCGTTTTCCAAGTAAGGCGTCGATCTAGGTGCATTCCAAGGTACTTGGCCTCATTTGCCTGAGGACTGGAGGACAGGTCTGTCAAGTAAATGTCACATTCACCGACTTAGCCTCGTTGGTCATAATTCTCCACTTTTTTTTAGCCAGTTTTCGATGTTAATAAGGCTGGCTTGGAGCATTTGTAGTGCCAGGATTGCAGTGTCATCAGCGAACGTGGCCACAGTGACTTGTTGAGATGTAGGCAAGTCCGCCGTGAAAAGGTGTTAAGGGGCCTGAAACGCTTCCCTGAGGGACTCCAGAGCTGATCGGTCGTAGAGTAGTCATTTCGTCAACGGGGAGGCACTTTCAGGTCAAACACTGAAAGAGTATTAATTAATTAATTAAGTATGATTTAAAGATGAAATAGTATACGTGGGGAAGGCACTTCTTAATTTTGTATAGCAGCCCTTCATGCCACACCCTATCGAAAGCCTGAGATATGTCCTGGAAACCAGGAAATTATGATTTAATAAAAAAAATTAAGGTACATCAAACAAAAATATTGAAAGACAAAAAATATGTTATTTTTTTATTAATTAAATACAAAGTACAAAGGAACAAAATATAAAATCTAAAAGATTCATAAAAAAATATTGCAAGGGTTGATGTTAGTTATCATCATTCATCACTACCATTAATCACT